TGGAAACAGTATATCGCAACTCCCGTCCTCTGGACCGAGCACACCGGCCAACAGGAGTGTGTAGGGTCATGGTGCAGGACACGATCAAGGTTAAACCGGGCGAGGAGGCATTGGTCCCATGCACATTCAGCGGTCGGACGCCCAGTGCGGAATACCTCCGCGAGCCAACCATGGCAAGCAACAACGACACAGTCAGAGCAATGTGCTGTCTGCTGCGTCCCACGGCATTCGGGGCCACGGTACGCATGGTGAATGCAGGGAACAGTGAAGCAGTACTGCACAAAGGAAAGGTGGTGGGAATAGCACGTGCTGAATTCGAAATGTCGCTGCAGAACCCGGCGAAGAGTGATGAGCCGAGGCGGCAGGTAACGGGGTACAAGCTGGATGAAAGCCTACAGGACAGCAAGAAGCAGGAGATTCAGGAGCTGGTCAACGGGTATGGCGATGTGTTCTGGGCGGAAGGCGATCAGCTACCGACGGCAAGAACTGGCATCCAGCATGAAATACACCTCAAGAGTGATACAGCACCACAGTGGTCAAGGCCTCGTAGGATGGCACCGGACGCACGGAAGGAGGTGCGGGACGAAGTCGAGTACCTCATTCAACAGGGACTGATCCGGGAGTCTACTTCGCCATGGGCTGCTCCAATAGTGGCTGCTCGGCGCAAGAATGGCCGACTGAGACTGGCAATGGACTACCGAAGGCTAAACGCAGACAGTCATCCCCAGCATCACCCACTGCCTCTGATAGACGACTTGGTGGATCAGTTGACTGAAGCGCAGTTCTTCTCCACGGTTCACTTGAAATCCGGCTACTATCAAATGCCCATGCGTCGTGAGGATGCGGCCAAGACTGCCTTCGTCACGCCGGATGGCCAGTATGAATGGACTGGTCAGGGCACCCCGTTTGGCCTGTCGGGAGCCCCGGCGACCTTTCAGCGTCTGATGTCAGCGATTCTGGGCGAACTCAATTGGACGGCTGCGCTATGCTACCTAGACGACGTGCTGGTATGGGGACGCAGCTGGACGGAGCACAACAGCCGGTTGCGGGAGGTGCTCAGTAAACTCAGGTCGGCTGGTGTACTGCTGAACCCCGACAAATGCTGTTTCGGTGTGCGGGAGGTGGAGTTCCTTGGGCACGTAATAGCAGCAGGCACAATGCGCATCTCCGAGGCCAGGACTCAGTCGTTGCTCCGCACACCTAAGCCTACAACTGTTACTATGCTCCGGAAGGCTATGGGCGCCTTTTCATACGTTCAGCGCTGGATCCCAGGCATGGCGACCATTGCAAAACCACTGTACGAAATGATGAAGGGTCCTCGCAGCACGCTGCTTCAATGGAGTGAGAAGGCAAGTTTAGCATTTGAGACGCTAAAGCGACAGGTCGCCTCAGCACCGGTTTTGCAGTTACCGGACATGAAGAGGCCGTTCATACTAGTAACAGATGCATCGGACGTCGGTACCGGTGCAATGGTGGCACAGCGACGAGACGGCAAGCATCTAGCGCCGGTAGCGTTCTTCCACCAGACATTGACGCAGGCAGAGAGGAACTACCCTGTCACGGACCGTGAGCTGCTGGCAGTGATCCTGGCCATCAAGAAGTTTAGGGTCTATCTCTCCGGCCAGCCATTTGACCTTATCACCGACCACACAGCACTCAAATGGATCAACAGCCTGGCGATGGATGAGACCCATGGGCGACGTGCACGGTGGCTGGATTATCTGCAACAGTTCCCGATGAGACCCATCCACAGGCCAGGAACTTCACCTGAACTGAGTATGGCGGATTATTTGTCCCGGATTGGGCACGCCGAGCTACCAAAAGTCATGCAGTGCCTAAGCGTGCAGCATCGGGTCGACGCGGCAGCCGCCTACCGCGCGGGTACGAAGAGTCAAGATAGGGAGTTGTAAAATATCAGTATTTTAGTACTCCAGGTAACGAAAAATATTTTCGTAGATTTGCTCTGTTTCGGTCACGTTTGGACGGATCTTCGGAGCAACTTTCGTTACTCAAACCCGGACGGTCGAAATCTAACGAATTTTCGTTGTGCGCAACCTCTCTAGTGTTCGTGAATTTTTTTTGAATTTTTTTTGAATTTTTCGTGAATTTTCGTCACAAGAAGCGAAACTTTGTGGGAACATTCGCAGCTTTGAACGCGAAACTTTGCAGGAAGCGCGAAACAAACTTTTGCAGTAGTTTTCGATCATCGCGGACGGGTGGTGCACAGTGCACGCATGTGGGCCACCCCATTGGGCCTCAATCCTCATTGTTGTGCTTGATCTCTACAATTGCCACATTGGCTTGGTCAGCGAGTGCTAGCTTTCCCATAGATGGGGCAGCCCGCTTTGCTTCATCTCCGGAACCATCTCAGATCTCCTGCCTGCTCGTTAGTCGGTTACATCAATCGGATGCCTTTTTTTTGAATTTCAGGTGTTGATGCGCCGGATTACGGCACAAGCCAACCCGTTTGTTTGTGGATCTCCGGCCATGGACAACGTAGTCAAAAGAGCTCTCATCTCAGGCACCAATGACTCAGGGTGCCGCCACTCGCAACAAATAAGCAATCTAATGACGACCACTTCTCAAGCAAGCACGAGTGAACGTGTACTTTCTTGAAGCGAAAAGCATGCAGAACACATATTTCGCGCTAACGTTCGCAATAGTTGGCCACTTGCACTCGGGAATTTCAGCTACTAGCATAGGACTATAAGGTACAGTCATGTACATGTACGTGGGCTCATAGCAACCTGCGAAAAGTTTTGAATTTTTTTGATGGGAGCGTTGCACGCATGTGAAACTCACGTGCACTCCAAAAAATCTGCCCAGCACAAGGGAACGTTCTGGCCGCCCAATCTCGCACTACTGTTGCGGTCCTTGCTGTTTTGTGGTTGTGGAGCAGTTCTTCTTTTTCAGAATATTGGGTTGTTGCTCAGCAAGCTATGCTTCGCGGCGCCATCGTTCGAGTTCGTGGCGCTCCGTAGGTGCTTTCCTGCCACAAGATTGGATTCGGCTAGTGCATGGCCGTTGGAGAGTTCGAAATTTGAATATCTCCCCAGTGAATTTTAGCGGGTAGCTTTATTCAAGACTACTAAGTCTTGTTGGCGCTTGGGGACTGATGTTGTAGCAGACTATGGTGGTTGGTTTGGCTATGCTGTGTCGTTGTGAGCAGAAGTGACCCCTTGTTAATCGTTGTTGTACTTTGTTTCAGTGCGCATTTTAGTCGATTTTTTCTTATTTTGCCTATGTCCAAGGAACCAAAATGCCATAGTGAGCAAACAAGGTCCACTCAGGGATAAAAAAAAAGAGCCAACTAACTTAAAGCGAAATCAGAAATTTGGCCATGTCTGGTGATATTTGCTTGCTACAGACATTAGAAAGGTTCCGCATAACGTGATTACGTTAGTAAAAAACGTAGTCAATCTACGGAAAGTCTTACGTAAACTGCATGTGCATCTGCGTTCCACCACACGGAGTTTTCAAATCACGTAGCTACCCTTGGCAACTCCGAACACAGCGCTGTACGACCGGATCGACCTGGAGAGACAGTCATAAATTTGTACCCCAATCCCCTACGCAGCACCTGAGTTATCAGAGCCCCAACTTTCCGTAAGTGGAGTGCAAACTCGCGAATTCAAGGGTTTTCCCTCCGACTAATAAAAAGTTGCTCAACCTTACGTAGTGCGGAACCTCTCTATTAACTCTCTTTGAAAAGCTGTGTTCACAACTGGAGTGTGGACGCGGTACGTTTGCAGTTCATGCGTGCCCAAACGCTCGTTCAGGCTTTCACAAAAAAAGCATATTTCAATAGAGTGTGGGATGCCTTCGAGTACCAAGTGTTTTGACCCCGCCAGTCAAAGTGACTGGTATATACGCCAGTATGCGCCTATTACGAGCAGAAACTTCCAACATATGGGAATTTCCATTTCGGCGTGTTTCCATACGCATGGCGCCCTAAAAGGCTGCAAAAATACGTGTGAAACCACACGTTTGTGCGTATTTTTGCTGGCTTTTGGGCGTCATGCGTATGGAAATGCCGAAATGGCAATACCAAAATGCTGGAAGTTTCAGCGCGTTTGAGGCGCATACTGGCAGACATGCCAGTCATTTTGACTGGCGGTGTCAAAACATTAGTACTCGAAGACGTCGCATGCGCTAATTACGACTCGGATTGCTGTTGTGTTGTGAAAGCCTGAGCGTGCGTTTGGGCACGCATGAAAGGCCGATTCACAATACAACTTTTTGCGACACAACATGCGACTTTTGTTGTTTGTGCTACCCTTATGTACTAGCAGTATTATGCATGTGCACTGCGCATGCTCCCAAAGTAAAAAAAAACCTGCTCTTGTGTACGTCGTGCGTCACATGTCGCAAGAGTTGAACTTTCTTCAACTATCGCGACAGGTGGAATTTTTGAAATGGCAAAGTGTTAGCAAGACTACATACCCCCCCCCCCCCCAGAGTGTGCAACTCCACTATGGGTGCTGTCCCGACAGAATTTCAAGTTGACGTCATTTTGATGATGCAATGCGCACTGTACACGGATTATCAGGCGAATCAGGAACCTGTGGTTGACCGAAGCCGATCGATCCTGTACAAATTATTGCAAAGAAAAACGTGTGATGGGCTGACACCTGTACAAATGTTGTAAATCACTGGTGCAAGGAGCATTGCGTCATAAATAATGACGTCAACTTGAAATTCTGTCGGGACAGCAGGGTATGTGGGAGTTGCACACTCTGGGGGGTTATGTACTCTTGGTGTTAGCAAGTCCTCTTCTCCTGTGAACTATTTGTGTGTCTGACATCCTGTGTGACAGTGCTTCTCAATCTATGTGCTGGTATGTGTGTGTGTGTGTGTGCTGGTATGTGTGTGTGTGTGTGCGTGCATGTGTGTGTGTATGTGTATGTGTGTGTGTGTGTGTGTGTGTGTGGGCGTGTGCGTGCA